TGCACAGAAATCCTTGACGTTTCGGAAAACCTGATAAGTAGTGGAGTTTGGGTTGAACGCGGCAATGCCCTGGTGCTTGATATTTTGCATCCAAAACGGAGAGGCGGGAGCAGCGCTAATTTGATGTCAAATACGGCAAAGAGATAGAGCGCCTGGACATACGTCCCCTTCCGATGGGAGTGGTGCATGTCGTTCCAAGGGAGTAGACCAATGCTGCGTAGCTGATAACTGTGGCGATTTTCGATGCGAGAAATAGCGAAAGCATGGTCAGAGCAGTCGAAATGAATAGGGCGCCTGAGCTTTATACTGAGCTGAAACGTTCATGCCAACTGCCAAAATGGCAGTTGGCAGTTGACATGGACATGCCCTGGGGTTTGTTCCTGTGCGAAATCTTTTTAAGATTCTACCGAGTCGGGTCCGGCATTCAGCCGAGGAGGAGGAGAGGAGGATTGCCTGCGCGGTCCCAAATTGAAACAGCAGGTAGCCGTACTACACACATGTGACGCCTACATGAATGCTACGGATGCCCTAATGCCGCCGCCGTTGTGAACACGTCATAGGAGAGAGAAAGAGATGATCAAGTATGAGCAGTGATGAAAATGAAGGGACAAGCAGCATAGACGATCGCTGGGAACAACTGGATCGCGCCGAGAGGAATCTGGTGTCACGAATTCAAGACGGGGGGATAAGGCTCCAACCATTCACTTTCCGTTTGTCGAGGGGCGTACACCGCATCGTGGCTGGGTGATATATCAGACCTTGTAATAAGAGACGTGCGCTGGTGTATCAGAACCTCTGCCTCCGAGATCCGGCTGATATATCATCTTCCATATGCCATGCAACGTGCGGGCAGCATTTCGGGCCAGGGGCGTCAACGGACTGCCGTATCGCCGACATGCACAGGTACAGCGCACGTTCCAAAGGGGCGAAGGGATGTACGTATTCGACTGATTTTTGTCTTCAGGGGACTTGTGAACGACTTCTTCGATTCCAATCGCAATTTACATCATTCCTGATGTACTACAAGTGTAAACGACAATTTCACTGTGTAAGGGAGCATGTAAGACGATTGAATGACCAGAATCAAATGCAGCGCACCTAATTATCTCCAGAATCCCAATATATATGCTCCCACGCCTTCGGGTATATCTTGAGAGAACAATGGTCGTATTTGGTGGAGAAGACAATGACCGGGACCATCAGGAAAGCTGGATGTAGTCTTGCCAACGAAGACACCAGCGGGCCATGGGGCAAGGGAACGACGGATGTTTGAAGGTGGAGTATACAATTTCAGCTGTTTGGAAGTCTCTGGAAGGTGTGCGCGGGTTTCTGCCAGGTGGATGGGACGAGACATGAGATGTAGCGCGAGTACAAGGGAGTGCACTGTCAAGATGGTGTTTTGATCGAAAGCAAACACATAACAATAGCGCGCAGATATTGATAGACTGTACTATGCCAAAGTGGAATCCACTCGCTCCTATGACTGACCTTTGCGATGATATCAAACTGACAGCAGTGGAATTGGATGCAAATCTGCGACAAGTTGAAATTGATGAACCAATGACCTACGATCCGAACTTCAGAGTGTCTAGTGCCGAAAATGGCTTCCGCATCTTTGCTGGGGATGATTCAATGCATGAGATTGCTGCAAGACGACAAGGCCAACTTGAACCACCCCTGAATTTAACAACCGCTTTTGTGCATATCAAGGTCATGCGGGCTGGTCAGTATGACCCTCAAATTATGACAAGATTCAAAATTGTTTCAGATGACTTCGAGGAAGACACAACTGTACATCCCACATTTGACAACCCAACGATAAAAATGAACTTTAAATCCGGAATATTGGGAGTTGCACTCTCCTTGTTCCAGAAAATTCCAAATAATGCCCTGTTACTACTATGTTCCCCATCTGACTTTTTGCTCAAAACACTGATTAAGGAGCGAACAAAATCTGAAAACAACATGTTAGACCCTAATTTCCCCCTCTTTAAAGCGGTTTTTGCAGCGCTGAACGAGCGGGTTGCACGAACACAGTTCAAGCAAACAACAGACACTTTTCCTGTCACCTTAAATTTGGACACTGATCTATGCCCTCCACTCGAGGTTGATACCCAAATCGATTTAATGTTCAGCTGTCCTGGAATTCTAATCTCACAAGGCTCACAACGGATCTTTACAAAAATTATCAAAGGCAACCACTCTGAACCTTTTAGAAAGGCAACTTTCATCAACCTAGACTGCATCCGATGCTCCGTATATGAAATTTCTGAGTACACTCCAACAGACGAAATGATTTGGAACTCTATACGTTCCACAAATTTGAGACGAACCCACCGTGAATTATTCTGGAAGTCAATTCACAACATTTTCAGAGTCGGTGACTTTTGGACACACATGAATAATCTTGAAGAATTTTCTGTTTGTCACACCTGTGGCGTCTGTTATATACCGAGCCAAAGGAAGATCGAGATGAACGAGTCCGGAACCGGAACCGGAAACCGGAGGATCGGATCTTCCGGAAAGTATATGGGAGGATAACGCAAGCACCACAGGACAGTAGGATGTGTGCACTACCGTGGCCGGTGAAGGAAAGAGGACCGGAGGACGACTCAGTGCAGAGCGTAGAGCAAAGCAACATTAATTATCAAACTGAAGTACATGGCATATGTTACGGGTTTATATAGCTAAGTCCTAATTGTATTCCTGAAAAGGTGCGAGTCAGGTGACCAGTCGGACATAACAATAATACGAGTCCCAACCCTGGTTGAGCATTTCAATTTTTTCACCTTCTTTTTCAGTGAAAAATGTTGTTTATTTTTCAGACATTTTTCACTGAAAAAGAAGGTGAAAATTTTAAAACTTTTTCAGCACTTTCTCAATTCAAGGTGAAAAATTCGAAATAAATAAGAAAGTGATGAAAATGTTTTGAAATTTTCACCTGCTTTTTCAGTGAAAAATGTGTGAAAAATAAACAGCATTTTTCACTGAAAAAGAAGGTGAAAATTTTGAAATGTTCAACCAGTGCAAAGAGGATGAAGAAGTGATGTTGGAGAAATGAACAATAAGGAGAAGGATTATAAAGACGGATAAACGGGAAACGCTCAGTAATCCTTCATTGCGTAAAAACCCGGTGATCCGTGATGAGTCCGAGAATATTCCGTCCGGTTCCGGGATCCGGTTCCAGACATGACCGGAAGGTCAAGGACCGAGAATGCATGGATATAACAGCGTCCCCGAAAACCTTGAGCACATAGCAATGGAGTGTGATGCCTCGGGCGCAAAATTAATTTGGGGACTGACCAAGAAACTCTGGGCCACGAAATACCCCATGTGGCCCTCCCTCAGCTGGGGCCTCGTCCTCGGTTGTAACCTTGTTAAATTCAAACACTCAAATGGGAAAATTATCCCTGCTATGGGACGATTATTTGCCATTCTGGTATCTACGGCCTGGCACACAATCTGGAACATCCGGAATGATAAGGTTCTGAAGAACCCACACCGTAACATTACAGACATTGAGATTCACAACAGATGGCTGAAATCTGTGAATTCAGCACTGGGACGAGATCGAATCCTCACCAATAAAATGAAATTTGGTAATCTTGCGCTGAAAAAGATCTTGTCCTAAGAACATGGAGTGGTCTACTAATGAACGAAGACACTCTGCCGGATGATTGGACCTACACAGTGGGGGTTTTAGTGGGTATACAGCCATTGAAATTGAATGACTCAAGAAATGGGATAGGATAAATTTACTAGGCTGGAGTCCCGCACTCTGGTAATTGTGTGTAATGGCATTTCCTCCCTGGACAACTTTCCCGGCATTAACTAGAAATTTCTAGTAGACCCAGTGGATGACTTTTGGAATGCTTCTGCAGACTGAATTTCATTATCCCAAACGCTCCAAAAAAAAAAAGAAAGAAAAAAAAAAAAAAAAAAAAAAAAGAAGAGAAAGTGATGGAGTTTGGCAGCGCTTGGATGATCGCATCACTGCACAGCTTTACTTCTCTTACAGGCTCTGGAATAGTGATCGTATTTCTTCATTGGATAAAGGCTCCCATACGCTCGTTGGTGTCTACCCACCCCGAATCATTCATCGGGAAATTTGGATTGCCGATTCACAACTCCAGGCTCGAGGTTGGCTCGAGGTCTCCCCAATCAAGCATTGGTGCATTTCAAGGTGATGCCCGCCCATAGCGATCGCCGCATTCTCGCGGGAGGCCATCGCCGCAACAGGAAAGGACGGCTATAATTAGGGTGGGAGGTAAAGGATTTCCGACTGACCTGTGCTTCAGCGTCGGCCTCGATGCCCGTCCGGGGAGGTCGGTACCGGTCCAACGGGTCCATAGATTCGGCGCAGATGTGTTTTGAAACCTGTTGTTCGAGGAGTTGAGTTCCTATTTGTGTGAACAGGGAAGGCTCACTCACGGCAATTATCTGCAGGATGAGCTCGTACAGTCGAATGCTGTTAGATTTAGGATTCAACTTACTGCCGCGTGAATACTGTCGAAAAAAAAAAAAAGTGTTCTCAAAGAAACGACATGTCCCGGGCTCGAATCGAACAAGCACCTTCTGTAGAAATGTTGGACCCACGTATCGAGTGCAGGCGCGGACCATCCGCCACCAGGCCTCCTTGCTGGTACTTGGGAACATATGTATATGGGACAAGCCTTCCGCTTCTTGCTGGTACCTGGGAACATAAATAGATCAGCATTTGACTCGGAATTCTAGTCATGTGTGAAATAAAAAAGCAGAGTTACAGCGGGTATAGCCCAGGCTCGAGTCGAAGGAGCGTTCCGACAGAAGAGATTGTATGGAATACGGATCTGTCGTAGATCCGCTGCCAGGCCGCATCTCCATCCCTGTGAGCTCACAGATCAATGTAATTTTAAGCGAAGGATGAGGGACCTACATATACTGTATCTGCAAGCGCAATAAATTGGAGAGCTCGGGAGAGGCGAAATGCACTCACAAAAAATGCAGAGGATCAGCACCTATGGCCCGGGCTCGAGTCGAACAAGCGGTCCTGCGGAAACGCAAACACGTGAGCCCAGACATGGAGTGCAGGCGCGGAACCATCCATCCGCTACCGGGCCTTCATTTCGATTTCGTCTTGGCCCTGAACCTGAATAAACGGACAGAAAGAAAAATGAACTCGATGCGGATTCAAAATGAAAAGTGCATGGAGACGTACCGCACGAGGATTTCTTCATGTGAGCGCGGGGATGCTTAAATATTGGTGGGCGGTTGGTGGGCGGAGCACAAGGTGTTGTGGGATGCAAGCGTGCGCCATAGAATGTGAACATACGAATCGAACATAAATTTTGTCAATAAAAACCGACTGTGATGGTCCGGGCTCGAGTCGAACGAGCGATATATCCTGCCGAAAGTCATGGCATTGCATCGTGTGCAGGTGCGGAACCGTCCGCTACCGGGCCTTCTTCTCGTAGTAGTCGCGGGCCTGAATAAACGAGAATTGAAATGAATCAGATTGGACGTTAGCGGGGGTCCGGGGGAGGTGTACCACACTAGGGTTAGAATGTACGCCGCCCCGTCCATCCTATAGAGATCGGCGGACAAATTCGAGGGGGAAACCGTGCAGTGAACTAGTAGCAGCGCCGGGTCTGTAATAAGATGAGTATATTAGATGTGGAAAGCATTCCGAGAGCGTCACCTTTGAAGTTACCGATGCCATCGAGAAAGGTGACACGGTAGACGTAGGCGATTGAAGCTTATTCTCAAGATTTCGCAATACAGCAATACAGTGAATGCCGACTAGGCTGAATTGTTTGTGGAAGGAGGTGCAGAGGACTTGAATTGGTACGGTATGCGCGATGAGACCAAAACAGTCGCGGGATACGACATAACTGCAAAGGCAATTGAGAAGTAAATCCCGCGACTGAACGGTGAGATCGCGCGCAGGGTTGGACATGAGAGGGAATTGTGGATATGCGAGCGGTGCAGTTGGATGAGCGATTTGAGCGCTATCTGTACCTGAGGGGATGGTGGAGGCAAGGCTGAGATCGAATGAGAAAGGTGTTGGGATTTGCAGCATCTGATGTCAATGGACGGTGGAATCAGCGGTGAATTAGCGAAGAAAGCAAGGGGGGATGAAAGTGATGCCGCACCTGGGTACGTGTCCCATGGAATGCCGGTATGGAGAATTACCTCCTACATCGTGGCGAGGCGGCGAATGGTGGGAGAGGAGAGCCAGACAGACAACATGTAGTAAGGGGATAGGTTAGGTTAATGAGATGGAGGAGTAGGGTGGCGGCGTTGTGCAAGCCAGTTGGCATGGTCAAGCGGACACGGAACAGCGTGGCGGCGGGGTGTTGGGGTGGAGTTGAAGGTGCAGTAGACGGTGGATGCGAGGCTCTGGAGGAGAAACTGAAGGGCGAGAGACAAGGTGCGCGACGGCTTAGGGAGTTCCGAAAGGCGCCGGAGGAAAGGCCCCGACGGCGTTATTGACGGACGCTCGTTAACCGCGGGCATGAGACTACTAGCATAAGTGCGGCGGTGTAGGTGTGGGAAGGCGGTTGGGCAGAAAGTAACGAAGAGTGCGCCTAGCGCCAAGTTGAAGGTGTTTATTCTAGACAGCAATGATGGCTGGACAAGGGGCAGATTAGCGGTACAAGGCGTAGACTAGCGGTGGGGAGGGAGGGATTGATGCATAGGATGAACGGGCGGCAGTCGAAGGGTAGCAGGAGACGACGGAGCGGGATGATGGTAGCAGGAGTACGGAGAGCGACCCTTTGATCCGGACGGAAGGTGCAGTCACACAACGCCACACAGACGCGTCGCGCCTGATTGGGACACAGCGTTTGGGGTTTAGACAGTGGAGGTGGCGTGGCGGTTGGCGGGTGCGAGTGCGGGAAAGGACGGAGGTGGGGCAGGGTGGCAGGACTCAGAAGGGGATGGGGTGGGGTGGCGGGAATTACAAGGGCGGTGGTGGCGCGTGTGGGCGGGATTTGTCTCGCGAGGTGGGCTCAGGTGGGCTGTGCTCAGCGCTGAGGTGGGGCGGTGAGTCGGCGACGTCATAGGCGCGCTCGGGAGGATGCCCGAGAACGCCGGAAATACGTCTGAGTCAAGATGACGTGGGCGGCGGCGCGTCATGGACGGGATTAATTGAACTATGCATTCATGAGGCTAGTTTTCACGGGAGTTCCCAGGAGAATTAGTCGGTTGTAGACGACTAGGCAATGACGTTTGTCAGAGGCACGCTGAGGAGGATGATGCCCGAGAACGCCGAAAGAGTATCACTGGAGATGGCGACAATGTCGGTAGGCATTCACTGAGCCAGCTTTCACTGGTAATTCCTAGAACTAGTTAATCCTGGGGATTCCCAGGGGAAATCTGGTCAATCTTTTAGTCTTACACGGTCCGCGCATTTTAACTGCTCAAGAGGCGCAAATCTTGATCACCTTCTTCGACAGTTTACGATACGTGGTAGTTCCGGTCCGAGTGATGGGGGATGCTCGGCCTCCCAGAAACTGCATATCATTCCGTGGGAGTGGGGTGACTTACGAGCGGGAATGTGCGCAGATGATCTATTATAGACCCGTTCGTGAGCCGGATATATATTATAGTGGTGTGGGGTTAGATGGATATCGCACGGCATTATGGGCGTACATCGCATTTCGGTCATTTTATGAGCCCAGTTTACTCAGAGTCAGGATTGAGCTGGTCACTCCGGATCGATGAGCGAGGGCATTTGCGCTAACACTTGCTTTGCCCATCTAATAGCCGCGGAAAGCAAGCAAAATGGATGTGTCCGAGTCGATCGAACTGGA